CATTATTCAATTTAACCCATAAAACCTTCATGCAAATATACCCGAACTTAAACAGTGAAAAAACCATCCAAACCCCAACCCTAGCCCTAACCAAATATTTTCAACAAGTAACAAACACTTTCTAACACATGAGAACATAAATTTAGACAAGCAATTTCTCAAAATTATACTAAAATTTTGAGGGAATCATACATCGTGTCAAATTACCTGACTTAGGTCAAATTCTAACCCGGATCATTGCAAATTCTCTAGAAATTCACCTCCTCTGTCAAATTACCTGACTTAGGTCAAATTCTAACCCGGATCATTGCAAATTCTCTAGAAATTCACCTCCTCGAGGATCCAAAATCGCTTAGGTCAAATTCTAACCCGGATCATTGCAAATTCTCTAGAAATTCACCTCCTCGAGGATCCAAAATCGCGATGCACTATTACAGAACCAGCTTGAAATTGAACTTTACCCTAACCCACTACCAGTTTGCGGGAATTTTGGAGAATTTGTGGGCATTTGGAAGATTATAGGTGAATTTGGGAATTTTTGTTATTTATAGTGTTTATTATAACGTACTAGGTGAATTAAACAGTTAAAGAGGCATTTCCGTCTTTTACATAGTTTTTTAAATAACAGCTTACTGTTTCAATGGCAGGAGACCTTGGGTACTTATTTGAAGGTTTTTGAGCCTTGTGTATTTAAGTAAAATTTGCGGAAAACATTGGGTATGCAAGTGTAATTTACCCTTACCGTTTTGATAAAATTGATGGTTATTTCTTACAGCTTGTAGATCTACATGTTTTCTTTATCTCCACACTAAGTGTGTATCCTAATAAAAGGGATCTATTAAATCGTATTGTACAAGCAAAAGTGTTTTCAAAATTTGATCTAAAATCTAGCTATTAGCAAATTCAGATTGAAGAGAAAGACAAATATAAAACTGCATTTGTTGTCCCTTTTGGACATTATGAATGGAATGTGATGCCATTTGGTTTAAAAAACGCCCCATCTGAATTTCAAAACATTATGAAAGGAATACTAATTTCTTATACAGATTTTATTCTATCTTATATAGATGATATTTTGATATTTTCTAATACTTTTGATCAGCATATAAAACACTTTGAAATATTTTGTAATTTAGTAGTAAGAAATGGGTTAGCTATATCTGCCCCAAAAATGAAATTATTTCTAACTCAAATTAGATTTCTAGGTCATAATATTAACAAAGGAACAATGATTCCTATTGATAGAAGTATCGAATTTGCTTCTAAATTCCCTAATGAAATAACTGATAATAAACAGTTGCAAAGATTTCTAGGAGCATTAAATTATGTCACAGATTATTATAAAAATTTAGCTCAAGATACCGCTATTTTACATAGCAGATTGAGAAAGAATGCACAACCTTGGACTAATAAACATACCGAGGCTATGAAAAGAATTAAAATAAATGTTAAATGTTTACCTTGTATTCATCTAGCAAATATACGTTGGTTTAAAATAGTAGAAACAGATGCCTGACATACGTGCATATTCTTGTACTAAGTTGTTTTATGAAGAAGTAAAGGAAAAATATAAAGTCTATTCTTATTAAGTAATTTTTATATAGATAAACATGTAAGATTTATGGCAGACATGATGGTAAGTTCTTCGGAAAAACCCGTGATACGGGTAAAAAAGTAAAAAACGCACAGCTGACAGAATATAATTCTGATCTTGAACTCTTAAACAAATGGACTATTCCTGATGTTCCTAATAAGGATATATACAAAATTGGATGTTTAGATTATAAATCTTTAATTGTCATTAAAACTCTTGAACGAACTACTACTGTAGATCGAGATGAGCAGACAATACAGCTACTTGGTCTAATAGATATAGAGCCCTATATGGACAAATATAAATATATACATATTGGCTTAATACAAATAGCCTTTAAACCCTTAACTATCCAAGTGTTAAACACTTCGTTACTAACTTGTTTAAGAGATGCTAGGTGTCTCGATTGGACCCAATAATTAATGGGTATAATGGAAACTAGTCTAAGTAATGGACCAGTATATTTTAATATATATCCGAAATTAAGCCTATCCTTAACAGATCCTAATATATTAGAGGCAATAAGCCTAAATATTTTCAATATCATCTTTTGGGTCTTGAGCATCAGGCAAAGTAATATCGCCTTCCACAGATTCTGTGTTTTTTGATTCATTGGAATCAAAAGCCTCAAAAAATTGCTTTTTCATGTAGTCAAGGCATCGTTGCTGAATATCAGACTCATTAGTCTTAGGATATTTTCTTTTCATCATCCTTGCAATCTTTAGCATAATATTATCTTTATTAATTTCTTGAGACATAGTCGTTTCCAGAATCTTATTATTCTGTGGAATTATCTATTCAATTTGCTTAGCCTTTTCTTCTACAATTATTCCTGACCACCATCTATTCTTTAAGAAAATTAAGCTGATTTTCTTTTAATAATACATTTTTGACTTCATTTGGTAAACGAGTTTGAGGATCTGTAATAAATTCAAAGATTAAATCTTTACTATTATAGGTAGCTTTAATGCTTTGAGTATTTATTTGACTTATAGGCATTATATTATGCAAGAAAGGGGTTCCTAAAATAACATGTTGGGATAAATCTTTTACCAACACACAAGGGGTAGGAATACATATTCCTTGTACACATATATGTGCATTAGGTAATTTATATCGAATGTCTAATTTATGTCCGCTTGCACCACTTAAAGTTTGAGTGGTCTTTTCAAAATATTTTGAAGGAACTACTCCATTAATGCAGTTTAAATCTGCGTCACTATCAACTAGTGCTATAAGATCTGGTATAAAAACTTGTTCAACTATTGCTAAAGTTATTTTAATATACAACTTTTGTGAAGTAATTTGTTGTAAAATTTGAAGAAATATATATATATATATATATATTATATATATATATATATATGAAATGTTTCGCCAAATTGCTCGTGACATATGTATCTCATACATATATACTTTTTTTAAATTGATGTCAGTTTACATATTCACCTGCAATTATCACAAAGGTACCAGTCTGTTCCTGTAGCATAAGAATGCTTGATTTTAATTCTAAGAATTGCAGATTTCTCTCTATTACTATCCTTCTTCATACCTTGTACTACTTAGAGCTTTAACAGTTGAACATTCCCTTGCAATGCCTTGAATTTGTAGCTAGAAGCCTAGAACTGAATTGGAATAGAAGGAAAATTTTATATAATTACAAGATTATTGGTAACTGACGTTTATTCGGTTTCTTCTAATATGATTATGTATCATATATTTCATTGTTAGAGAAGGGATTCAACAACCTCTTTGATTCTGCACATCAGCTTATAGATCATGATATGGTAAGCAGTTCTAGCAGCCCAATATTAGTGGTTTTAATTATTTTGCTGTTGTAATTTATGCCAACACTGCTATAGCCTATGTTACGTGGGTACTTCTAATATGGAGCCGTACCCATACACGACATGTGTCGTACCCGTACTTGATCCCAAAACTTCTCGGACAACTCCTTAAACATATGCATATATTTATTGACACATTATACAATGCATGTTTCATTTAAAACACTCGTCATACATTTCTTGGATATATAACCTTCACTTTACATCCACTTCTACAACTTGCGGGATAAGGGGCGAGTTTATTTCAGCCTTAAGAGCTGCAATTTGAAACAGTCGTTTTAGTTTAGAATTATGATTACATCCTATTGAGTTTCAGCCATGTCCCCATACCCTTTACAAAATTTCCATGTCCCATCCCCGTACAACTTAGGCTACAACACTTCTATATGATGGTATACACTGTGGAAGAAATGATCTGGGCAATATCTTCCTATCTTCCTAATAGATCGTGTTTTTAATGGTCAGACCTGCAAAAGGGTAGGTAAATTTTTTTTGTTAATGAAAGATAACTTCTTGATCTTCCATGCTTTCTTGTAAATTAATGTTCTCATTGTTTTTTTTATGCTAATACTTTCTTTGTCATGCTAGGCACTTTATTGTCCATCAATTTATTCTTGCATTGTTTACGATAGTTTTGCTGATACTGTATACTCCATTTTTGTTAAGTTTATTTTAGATTTTCGAGCCTCATCTCTTCTGCTGAAACAACATTTTCAGTCATCTAGAAGAGACTTTACCTTGATTATGCCTAGAAGTTCATCCATGGCCAACATCCAAAGATAAATGACTTAAAACTTGGTGATAGGGAATTTCAAAGTCTCTTGTTTTTTTTTTCTCGCGCTAGTTATAGGCAACCATTGTTTGAAGTTTGAACTATTCAAATCTACATCTGATCAAGGCATCAAAACCCTACCTCCTTTCCATAAACCTTTTTTTTTCAAAATCTAAAATGTTTTGCTGCGGCTTTTCTTATTATTGTTTCCACATATAATGCATCTCTCTTCTGTACGTGACATGGTTATTGTTGTCCTATTATTGATTATGATTTTGAAAGGGCCAGAGGAGATGAGCATTCTCCGAGCTCTTCTTTTACAGTAATCTGTAGGAAATCTGTTTTTTTAATGGGTGTAATTTAACTAAGCTTGAACATTTGATGTATTTGTACAACTGCAACTCAATTCACTCTGCTAACGTTTGATGTGCTGTTGTTTGTTTTGTGACTTTTATTGGAGAAGCTGCTGAGAGATGGCTAGCAATATGAATAAATGTTTTTTTTACTGGTATGCATGTACGCTTTTATATGCAAATTCTACGGCATATGAATAGCTGGAACTGAATAAATTTTGGTGAAGTGTAGAAGTAGAGAAATGCGAGATCTTATTAGTCTTTATATGTTTCTTCTGTTGCAATGGCACTTAATCAAGTATGCATCTTAAAAGGTTTTCAGAGTGGATTCTTAATCTTGGTGCCCTGTGGGTTTATGTCTAGTAAGTTTTAGTTTTGTCATGAGCATATGATTTTTATCCTTAATAGATAGTATTTTCTCTTGATCATGTTAGGCTACAGATCATCTGGAGATCATCGGGTTATCAGATCTGGTTTGCCAATCTGTAGTGGACATGACGATTGGCGACGCGATGATCGGGGAGACAGACATGATTCAGAAGATATTCAAAGTCAAATTTGACATGATGCCGAATGAACTAGAAGAGGAAGATAACGAGAACAGATTAATGCTGCTTAATAAATCAGTGCTGAAGGAGTCCAATGTGGATAGCTTGCTCGAGTTGATTGATTTTATCTTTCCACCACCAACATATTCACCTAGATAATTTATGTCACGCGTATTCCTGCTTGAAGGATTTACATGATGGTTGAAATCAAGTCTTGCAATGACCGGTTTATGTAGGCCGATTGATCAGGATATGACCTAGAGGTTTCATATGTTTCTTTTCACTTTAGTTTTCTTGGATTTGATTGGTGGTGGTGCATAAATTCTGTTGATAGCCGTTACCTGATGATTCTCTATTTGTATTCTTCCTCCTTAGTTTATTATTTACAATATAACCTATGCTTACACCTACACTTGAAGGGCTGTCTTGCTGGTTTCTCGGTAACCAAAGAAACATGAAATGGGGTAGAAAATAATCAACCATGGTTTCCTCCCATTTTCCCATAATTAAAAAAAAAGAGGTCAACAACTTACGAAGCAATTTTTCTAGAGAGTCAGATCAACCACTCAGAATGTCACACACGATTCTATTTTAAGGATATAAGAATTAATAAAACACTGCAAATGAAACTATTACAAGGGAAAACAGAGAAAAGGAAAGTACTATAGAAAAAAGTGACATGAACATTATAATTTTTTTAGGAAAATTGTAAGCATACCAACTTTTGTGTACTACTCTGATACTGACTTGACTGGGGGGCCTTACTTGAAAATGGTCATTACTCTTTTGTAAGTGTACCAAAGTAGTAGAGAAATTATAGTACACTTGTCACCGGTCTTCTATTTTCTTCCATAAAAAACTTTACAGCCCCTAAGTAAAGACTTATCTTTTGTGTTTGTTTAGTCATAGGAATACAAATGAAAACTTGGAAAGTATCTGACAGCTACAAAACACGTCAATGACATAAAATAAGGAAAGTAGCTCAAACTGGATTTTCAAATTTGTGTTTGGTTCTCCCAATAAAAAATAGAAACACTTTCTTAAAATCCCAACCACGTCATATTTTAGGAGTACCTAATTCTGAGCTACTTGAGTTTAAACAATAGTTGAGTTTTAATGTTAAAATATTGGAGAAAGAGGTTAGTGGGTTTTCTAGTGGGAAGTTTTGGAAATCGATAAAAGCTACAACCTCTTCATCTCTCTCATTATATCTCACACTCCCTCCCCCAAATCCCGCCTCTATTGGAGATGTCTGTGTGTTCCAAATCCTATATCAAATCCCCTAGTCACTTCGATTTAATTGCTTTTTCTCCTAAAAAAATATATTTTTTGGTAATCGATGATTCTATGTAGATTATATGTCGTATCTAAAAATATATTTTTTATATGTAGATTATATGTCGTATCTAAAAATATATTTAATTGCTTTTTCTCCTAAAAAAATATATTTTTTGGTAATCGATGATTCTATGTAGATTATATGTCGTATCTAAAATATAAAGTTATGATTTTTACCATATAAAAGGAGTCTTGTTGTTTGTTTTGTGATTTTATTGTTTTTATTTGTGTGGATAGGATGAATATTTGATGTACGCAAATTGTATTACAAACTTATTAGATATTGGACTATTTTGAGCTAAATACCCATATTGGTATTTTAATTCCACCCCAATTTCTAACAAGGTATTTTAAATAGGCAAACCCGCTTTAAGACATTTTAATTGATCCAACTAACCAATAAGGCATGTTTTCTCGTCGGCTGGCAAATTTCTGACGAGATCTCGTCACGTGCATGGCACGTGATGTCTCAAAACTTGCTTTTAGCGGTGACGACAGCGATGATCTCCTCGTATTCAGCCGATTTGACGGGGTTAGCGATCACAGGCAGCGTCATCACCGTTATTTTATCCTACTTTGGGTTGAATATGACGAGATTGTTGCCGTCGCCGCTGCTAAAAACGAGTTTTGAGACATCACGTGCCATGCACGTGACGAGATCTCGCCGGAAATTTGCCCGCCGACGAGAAAACATGTCTTATTGGTTAGTTGGATCAATTAAAATGTCTTAAAGCGGGATTGCCTCTTTAAAATACCTTGTTTGAAATTAGGGTGGAATTAAAATACCAATATGGGTATTTAGCCGACTATTTTGTGAACGCCAAATCTCAAAAAGTTGTTGTTCCAGTTACGCTTAGAATACCAATTCCATTCAAGTGAACAAAAAAAATTTGAAAAAAAAAAATCATAAGTTCTAGTAGTTCTCAATGCTTATGCATGCAAGAGATAATCATAGTTTTTGTAGATAATTAATAATTTTCTTTAATGTTTAAATAACTGTTAGATTATGCAAAAAAAAAAAAAAAATTAACCATACCATAAAAATCACAGTCTTGGTTACTGTTTATATTTTCAGTTTCAATTACTGGTATATTAAAATCCATTTATAGATAGTACTTGCATGCTCCTTAACTTTGGTATTGCATATGATTATGTAGCTTCTTATTTATGCACAATTTACACATGTTAACGTCATTTGGTCCTTGCAGATGGATAATGTGGAGGAAGAAATGGTTTTGAGGATAATTTCTGGGGGTGCAATGACTGTCTCGATAGCTATGATTCCCATGGTCCTGACGATGTAATCTTGACACACACACACACAACAGAAACACTAGTCCAACTCAACTTCAAACTATTCATGTTAGCGAATAAATAAGATGGGTAGATTCAACTAGCATCGAACACAAGCATTCAGAGTTAACTAGAACACATCCTTCAGAAGTCCGTTAGTACAAAAAAGACCCAAGTTTCTCGCTGCACCTGCATCCTAATTGCAATTCAAGATTGCAATTTTTATAAATTAACAACATCTAGGTTCGTAGAAAAACATAGTGTTTCCCAAAAAAAAAAGTCGAACACAAGTTTCCAACAATTCCAATCTTGCATACTTAAATAAGTTATGCTATGGCAAGACAATGTGCACCTATAACGGCTCATTATGTCGTGCATTACTATGTAGCCTAATGATATTCCAACATGCATTCATATGAGCACAATCACAACCCTTGAACAGCCACTGCGGCAAAAGTCCAATAATCTTGCAACTGAGAACCTATCACAAAAAGTAGAATTATTAATTTCAGAGAAAAGAACAAATAAAAATGAAAAAAAACTCAATTAAGATAAAGATACCAGTCCCTACATGTCTCCAAAATTTAATTTATCATTTATGCCACCAATAAACATCCATTTTGAGCATGTGTTGTGCATGGTGTGAGAGACGGTGCCAAAACACTGACTTTGCGCCCTGCATTGCGCCTCGCGCATTGAAAACACAGATGGGATGTTAACAATATATACTGGATGATATCCTTTTGGAATGCTTGTTATAATGTTGTGTGTTTGGTTGTTACGGTTAATGACTGGTTGTTAAGCTTAGGGCTTGGTTGTCAAGTTTACAGATCGGTTGTAAGCTTAGCTTTTGGTTGTAAATGTTATGGATTGGTTGTTAAGATTATGAGTTTGTTGTTAAGCTTAGCTTTTGGTTGTTATTTGTTAATGTTATGGGCTGGTTGTTAAAAGCTTATGGGTTTGTTGTCAAGCTTATGATTTTGTTGTGGGTTTGTTGTCAAGGTTATGATTTTGTTGTTAAGCTTAACTTTTCGCTGTTAATGTTATGACTTGGTTGTGGCTTGTTGTTAACCTTGTTAAGGTTATGGCTTGGTTGTGGCTTGGTTATCAAGGTTACTAATGCACATGCCATAAACAATTAAATATTTACATTTATAATATTTACAAGAATTAAATATTTACATTTATAATAGTCTATCTCAAAATGTCATCATCGCCAAGTTGACTGAGATCTTTTTTCCTATTCATGCCTTAAATTATTAAGTAGGATGATAGCTTCGCTCGTATGACCCATGTGTTATGCTCTTTGGCGTGAGGTGCAGGACACTTCTACCTTCGACATGGAGGGTTGCTTTGGGGGTTGAATCGTAGGCTATTTTTTCTGATTAAGCTTTGGGTTGATTTATGGCTAGGGTTTTGCGATGAGTTTCTGGAGTCGGTTCACTTGGACAGAAGAGAGATGAGAAGGTACGAACGACGAGGAATGGTATAGATAAATGGGAGGCGGTTAAATCGAAGGGCATTTTGGGAAGTTCATGTTGGTTTTGAACGGCGTATCACGTGGGGGGTGTTTTAGGGGCTAGAGGAAAATCGCGATGCTTTTTTGGGGCAGAGGGAGCGTTGACAAAGTCTTAGGGGGCGGGGCGAAACACTCTGGCTCGTTTTGGGCTCCTTCAAGAGCAAATTCAGGCGTTGGATGCAGGACCTCAGGCTATCCACATTGTCCAAACCCTTTCTAACGTGGATCCGCCTCTTCACTCTCATACCACCTCTGGATTGGGAGTTTCTCCAATCACTGTTTGAGGGTATCGGCAAATGCATCATGTGCTCCAACGACGTCACCACAAAAAATAACTTCAAAGACTGCAAGGAGCTGCTCAAGATTAGGGATTTTTTGGATGTCCCTAAGAGGATTAGGTTTCGTTACATCTCTCCTATTGAGGGCAACCTAATGGAAGGTTACATAGTCACTCCGGTTATTGGCAGGCTGGAGGTCCATGAGCACCAAGCGACGGTAGGCATATGACGGTGGAAAGAGACATCTAGCAGCGGTTTCTCTAGAGCCAAGGTGTTGGGGGGTCCACCTTTCTTAAGGACAGGGGTTTCTCAAACGACTTCGCTTCAAGCAATGATAGCGAGGAAGAAGCAATCGGCCTTTAGGTTACCGCCATCTGTACATTTACTTTTGTTTTGTTTTACTTGATGTTGATATGGGATGTTAACAATATATACTGGATGATAGCTTTTTGGAATGCTTGTTATAATGTGTGTTTGGTTGTTACGGTTAATGACTGGTTGTTAAGCTTAGGGCTTGATTGTCAAGTTTACGGATTGGTTGTTAACCTTAGCTTTTGGTTGTTAAGGTTATGGATTGGTTGTTAAGGTTATGAGTTTGTTATTAAGCTTATGAGTTTGTTGTTAGCTTAGCTTTTGGTTGTTAATGTTATGGGCTGGTTGTAGATTATGGGTTTTTGTCAAGCTTATAGGTTTGTTGTTAAGGTTACGATTTTGTTGTTAAGCTTAACTTTTCGTTGTCAATGTTATGACTTGGTTGTGGCTTGGTTGTCAAGGTTACGACTTTGTTGTTAACCTTTCGTTGTTAAAGTTATGGCTTGGTTGTCAATGTTACTAATGGACATACCATAAATAATTAAATATTTACATTTATAATATTTACAAGAATTAAATATTTACATTTATAATAGTCTATCTCAAAATGTCATCATCGTCAAGTTGACCGAGATCTTTTTTCCTCTTCCTGCCTTCAATTATCAAGTAG